AGCTTGCGTTGCTTCTTTTTTCCTGGTAAACCTTGGCTTTCACCATTGCTTCTTCCCCAAAGATCCAGGTATGCATTTGCGTGGCCGCTATTTCAGCTCGATGAGCTCGACGGAAATGTTTGGCTGTTTTAGCCGTAGCACCTTGATGTTGTGTTGGTTCCGAATGCATTGTATCTTCGCGAAACTCGTCAGGTACGTACCGGCGCACGGTGTAGTGCATCATGTGCAGCATTTCAGTATTTAAATTGGGTGGTGACAGCGGTTCGAGGAAGTGCTTGAACATTTGGGCCACTATGGACCGGTCTGTTCACACACCGTCAACCTTTCGACGCAAATCCTGCGTTTCCGCTCTGTAACTTGGAGTCCTCACCCCCGACACCCGGCTTTGACGTTCTATCTCGATCCGATGGAATTGTTGCACGCCCTTGTACAGCTCGGTAACAAGGGGTTTGAATCCATTTCAAATCCATCAGCATGTAAAATGTGCACTTTCAGGTTAGAGACCGCTGATTCCCTAACAGCCGTGGAAAGTGCTCCAGCGCACAGCAGTCCTGACGAGTAGCATACTTTTGAATTTGACTAAAGGCTCGGTTGCACGAGTCGAGCGAGCTTGTCACTGTGACCCTTGTGGCGCGATCTCTGAGGGCGCCTAATCCATCGGAGAAAGACTACAGGGGGATGAAAGCGGCTCGTTACCAGCAGTTTGTTGGGGGGGGGGGCTCAAGGTGTAGGCTTCGAGGTTAGCTGCCTCTTGCTTGTTTGTAGTATGCGGGTTTTCAGTTTAGTGATGGTTCAGACTTTAAAACACAAAAGTGGTCGTTTCTCGAAACTTTAGTTAAGTACGAAAACTGATTGGTCTACTTTAAAGGCGCTTATCTCGATAGCTTTAAACGGTGGATAAATCTCCTTATGTACACCGTAGTCTCATATCTGGGAGGCGACATGCACTCCTAGGCGTACAAATTGGCAATATAAAGCCGCCACGTAACCCTTCCGATATATAATGAGCCCATACACACACAGTATCTTGGTCTTGTCAAATAAGGCCTCGTTAGTAAGCTTCAAGTCCACCGACAGGCATAACACACACAAGTTAGCTTGACCAGATGATTACTTCGAAGCCGGACCTCGTTTGTGCACTTGAGTGGAAACTCTGCTCTGTATTTGTGCTGCCCTTTCTGGCATGTTCCTAATAAATAATCCTAAACATCCTTACTAATATCAAGTGAGCTGCGATCCGTAATGGATTGCTTCGCAAGCCAACCGACCCTTGTCCGTCGCCGTACCTTTCCAAACAACCCCCAACCGTTCAAATAGTCGCCAGGCTCGCTCCAACCGCCACCGAGCGTTCGTACCGTGGATCGTCAGATTAGTGTCCCTGAATGCGAATTCGATCAGTTCCATTGTTACCCATATGGGTGACATGGCCTGAGCAACATCCAGGTCACAATAGACGCATCACGAATACTCGGTAGTGACATTGCCGAGTCGTTGGCACCTCAAGGTCACTCCCTGTCACATGACCGTGCGCTCATGGCTTGAGCAGCTTGAACGTGGCGCGCCCATGGCAGCTGACGGTGTTCAGCATCTTTAAGAGAAACACCACATCACAACTGTTCTTGTCGCAACAGAAGCCACGACCTTGTGTCTGTTGTAACAATTTACCATTCTTTAATTATCCAGCAAGCTTCGCCATGGAAAAAGACTACGGTCATGCGCTCAACTTGGCGGTCTCTCGTCACTCCAAGAACCCAAGATTCACGTCGTCTGGAGGTAAGTTGCACCTTCCCGTTACCTTGCGCATCACTTATAATTAGCATGTGGGATTCACGACAGGGTGGCAATGGGCGTTCAAAATCTCGAGAATCGTCGGTTCCCAGTCAGTCTATCAAATCCTCCGCATTCAATAAACCCTGGTTCAACGCCTCCACATCCTGCCGAAATCACCCCAGCTCCCTCGCCTGTGTTGGAACGTCCAGTAGTTGGGGCAACCTCTTGTGCCACGAAACGGCTGCAAATCCTACTTGCATATTGTGGCAATAGTCTCTGTCATAGTGAGGATGGCAAGATCTAATCCCACCCGATTGAAAATGCCATTTGGCGGGTTGAAAACTGCTGTAATCCCACTATAAATGCATATTGAGGGTGTTCTCTGAAATTTATTTCAGAGTCTTACCAGGCATCTGGTATGATTTATCGAATATAGAATTCCTTTCATTTACAGAAATGTCGTCATTAATCGATATTTACGAGGTTTTTTTTAAATTCAGACGGCGTCTAATAATTTTTTCCTCCTGACAACGAGTTATCTTGTGAATGTTGCCTGTGTCGGCAAGGGGCAACATCCGGCTGAGCGCGAAATTCTAGTGTGAGTATTGTGCTAGGCCGTCCCGTCATGGATGAAATTCGCAGGCTTACGTCTGTCCAAGAAATCGTGCCGATTGTCTATTGGCAATTTGGTGCATTGAATTTAAAGATGCATTCGAATATCTTCGCCGCTAGAGCACAACCCCTACCGGTACGAGGATGACAGGTAGCCATTGGCAACAAAGCTGAAGCCGATTAATGACGGCAGATCGACGGTAATGTGCTGTGATAACTACAATTGAGTACGATTTCGTCTTTCATGTGTCGGTATGGTAACTACTACGAGGCCGTTCTTCGTCGTCACGATGTAACTATTCCACAGAAGACATGTTATGGAGCCGCAGGCAGAGATGTCCCATGGCTAGTGCTTGATCGACAGGAACACGTTTGTATGAGTCACAGGCATAGCTTGGTATTAATGAGTATCAGGTATTCTACACTGTGAGTCAGGACCCGAGTCAATATCACACTGTTACCGTAATATCTACTTTCAGCATAAATACTACAGTCTGTGCCGCCAACACTTCGAAATGGCTAGGCAGGCCGGGTTATCACTCCGTTCGTCCGCTGCGCAAGTTTCTAATGTCGCCGCGGCTGCTGATGTACTTCAGGCAGCTCATGACAGCGCTGTGGCTAACGAAATAGAGGGGAGCGAGCGCACAGCTATACAGACTACAAATTCTCGGCCAGCCAACACAAAGAGAGATTACGAAAGCTACCAAAAGGAATACGTGGATTGGTGTGTTGCTCGTAGTTCCCGTGCTCGCGACACTGTAACTGGTGGGAAGTTACATTTATTTCACTCAAGCCAAATTATTGGAAGGAAGTCATAGAGAAATATTGGAAAAGTTGTTGGTGGATCGACTGTATGTGGTTATGTCAATGCACTACATGTAGTGGATGCATACAATCAACAGATCAGCCTTCGCACAAACTCGAGCCCTCATCCACCAACAAATTCGGTGAAGCAGCTAATCAAAAGCATGCAGGCTCAGGCCAAATTACTTCAAATTACCTGTTGCAAACAACATGGTGAAGGCTCAGTACTTTGTAGCGCGACTTTAATGGAACTCAGTATTTAACGGATACTTTTTTTGGAACATGACTCCGGGGGGGGGGGCAATAAAAATGACGACAACTGTGGTGGTGATGGAGGGCGGTAGAAGGCCGAGAACTATCGAACTGCTCAACAGCTAAGTAATACACCGTAAAAAAATCTTGCCACAGGTATCATCTTTTTATTACCCAGGGACACTTTAAATATACATTTTGACACATTGACCTACCACTTTGCCATTTTGAAAATGAAAAGGTGAAGTTACGGTATACCAAGAGAAAACTTACAATCTAATCCAGACACCGCGCCTCGCTTAGTCCGCAGATGAGTGCCAACGCGCGAGTGTCCTACCTAGACTCTGATTAGCCCATGTTTGTTTTTCTAAATCGTGGATACTTGTACTCGTTTTTTCTGCTTCTTGAACTCGGAATCAGTCCGTTCGCCTCCGAGAAACCCGATGGGAATCGCTGCGTCTCCAGCAACAGAGTGAGATTATAGAGCAGTTGAACGATTTATCATTGCTCTCGGAAATCTGTAATGGTATCGATTAAGGTCTCCAACAGCATTGGTTTGTCTATCCAAGGCATATGAAGTCCAGTTTGACATGATTGATCATTTCGCGTACCGGTCCGTCCACGATGGGAAGTGGAAGCATGCTCAATAGACACGTATGTACGAACGGGTGTCTTTCAGAGGGGAGATTTGAACTGCGTTCCTGAACGAAGTGAAGATGTGGAATTGGTACAACTGTTCGGAGCTTGCCATATTGGGCAGCCTTTTTTGTGTGATAGTACGCTGGACACGGACGACTCAATCATTATTAATACGCGAAAAGGAATCCCATTGGGATTTCCGAACGAGGTTTGGCAGAAGCTGCATGGATTTGCTTTGGGGCCTTGCTATCTGCATATATAAGGAAAGAAAAAAAGGTGTGTGACATCGTGATCTTAAGCACAGCGACATTCTATCATAGTAGGTGACGATGGGTCCTTCGCGTCGGATAGTTAAGTCGTTAGGAATGTTCATCATCGAAGTCGTAAGTGGGACGATGTCATGGAGGAAAAACGAACGCGCCAAGAAACAAGTTGGTGGAGCGAATGTGTCGCTTCGTAGCAAGCGAGAGAGTGGGTATATGCATAAGTCATCGATGCACTTAGTGCTGTGATGGTCAATTTTTTTTTATTGGCATCAAGCACTTCACTTCAAGTTGCCTTGTTTACTTCTCCTACTTCGGTACATTGCTTTAATGCGGCCCAGTGCGGTAGCGGCACCTCGAAAACCCAATTGGATGACTCATATCGATAAGAATGCAGCCACAGCACTGCGTCCTCCTCGATCGTCAAGGTCCCTTGCTTCTCAGCTGTGCAGGTTTCGCAAACGAGAATACATCGATGTTCGTCATCTTCATCTTTAAACTCGTTGATGTCAAAAGACTTTTCAGCAGCAGCAACGCGGTTCACAACTTGATTGGAGAAAGCCGCTGCCTTCTCTTCGTCCACAGGTCCGTACATCGGATCGTTCGCAATGGGGAAGCCAAGGTGCTGTAAATGTACTCGAATCTGGTGCGTCCGCCCTGTTACAAGGAGACACTCGACGATACTCTCACCGCACACAGGCGATCCGCGACGACGAAACAGCGTCACACAAGGCTTGAAATCTTCAGACTCAAGCACACATCGTACATGTCCTTGACGTGGCGACATCAAGCCGATTGGGGCTGTCACGCGCCAGAATCCGTTGTTCGTGCTTTCGATCTTCACTAGTCCCGAGTCCAGCCCCTCCACGCCTGCAAACCCACTTTCTGTATCGGGAAACTTGCCTTTCACTCTTGCCACATAATATTTCTGCACTGAACGACTGCCAATTCCCCCCTCCGATGAAGTAGCTGTCAGTTCAGCCGTTAGGCTACGTGCCTTATCCGCCGACTTGGCAAGTATCAGCAAACCGGAGGTTAAGCGATCCAGTCGATGCACCGGGAAAAGCTTTAGCGCCTCAGTCTCCTCAATTAGAGCTTCTCGTCGATCACGTATCAGCATGTGCGTTAGCGAGTTGAGCTGAAAACTCCCGGTCGGATGCACTGGAATACCCGAGGGTTTGTCCACCACCATCAACTCGTCCGTCTCCTCGTGAATCCATGTATTTGACAGCGACTTTAGCGTCGATAGCTCTATAGAATCGTCCACTGGCAGGTGAATTTTAGGCTCATGTCGATGCTTAATGTGCTCGAAGAAGTCTCCGCCCGTAATTACCTTGTCCAGATCCGCCACTTCTCCATTTACTCGAAAATGCCCCAGCTGAGCTGCTCCGACGCAGTAATCGGCTGAGAGGGTCGGGAACTCGCTGGCAAATAGCTCGCGCAAGCTTCGACCAGCCCAGCGTCCTTTTACGAACTGTGCAAAGCGATGCACATACGGCTCAATGGTGCGGATGACGCAGTTCCCTACCAGTCGATTGTCGCAAGTGGCGGACGTACACGCCGTGAAGTGGACGCCGGCGGACGGAGTTGCACTCTCCGTCGCCCTACTTTGACGCTGGTTTCGGCGCTTCCGCTTGGAGGATATCATGCCCTCGGCCCGTTGTGCAGCCTTGCGCTCCACTAGCCATCGAGCCTTCGCCTGCTTGCGACGCTGCTTCTTGCTCGGTGGAGTGATGTCCGACATAAAGCGTTTTTAAACCTCATGATTTGATGTGCTTACCGGTAATTACAATTAGGGTTAACAAAGTAGGAATTGCGTCTGCAACGGTTCTGGCGCCTGACATTCGCCAAAGTAGAGTCGTAAAAAGTGTAGACCTCGGATTGTGTCGGACGCCATCCAAGGAAGACGCGCCTTGATGCGCACGGACGCGCACACTTCCTTGTCGTTGCCGTCGCTGTGCATGATAAACTCGCGCAGATCCGTTTGACAGCAAGTACTCCATTCGTTAATAATCTGGAATAGCCGTTGTGATGCATGCCAAGCTTTAACCCAGCTAAGTACGTACCGTCGACTGTATCGAAAATCTCTCGGCTGTGCTTCTCGATCGTGCTCTTGAGCTTTTTCAGGGGCGACTGGTAGCTCGTCGTTGGGTGATCGTTCATGGCTAACACTGGATCGTGCTTCATTGTCGGCGTAGACCGAGGCTCGATCATCACGCTGTCCGGTACTTGCTTGTCGACTGCGTCTTTGTCGCGCTGTTTCTTTGGTGGCATTGCTGTCGGAGGAAGAGAATGGTGGCTCGGGCTGAATGGACTGTGTGCTCTGTGGTCTGTTCACGGGTTTGCTCCTGAAAGGGACTAGGCGATCGCAGCGGAAAGCATGGAGCATCGAAGCAAGCTTTCATATGATGTTGTGAGCATCAGTTCTTAAACGTTTGCGACGAGGAAAATGTCGTGCGGCATAGCTCAACAACGGTATGCCTGTCCCGCGCGTCGTACCCCACTTGGGGAACCAAATTTATTTCAAACCGTTAGGACTGAGCAATGCCCAGTAGCTTTCGAGACTGTCCGAATCGTTGAGGCGAACGTGAGCATGTACACGTGTAAGTTTGGTCGCTAGCTATCCGAGTCGTGGGCTGTTGTTAGCCGGTTCCCAAAGTTACAAGAATCGCTTGTGTTGGTGTCAACAGCTTCACGTGTTGACCACGATTTATGGTCTTCAGCGCTGAACGGCGAGAGCGACACAGGCTCGCTGTTCAACGTAGTCGAGCACGTGAGAGCACTGAGCAGAGAGCCGAAAGACTGCGCCGACAGCGTGAGCGACAACGACGTGCCCGTACGGCTATTGGTGGCAAGGATCAATGTCAATCCAATGGGGAGCCGCATCAAAGCTGGCTAGACGGTGGTGCTCCGACTCTCCGTCCCGTGACTAAGACTACGAAAGAAGAGGCTTTGCATCGATTAAGATTGAAACTTGGGCCGTCCGGACTCGATGATGCAACATGCGCCGTGTGCGACTGCATGAAGTTGCGCAAGTCGATAACCATGGTTTCAGTTGGCGACGATTGTGATCGCATTAAGCAGATGCAAATACTGCTGTCCAGTACCGACGAGCACTTGCCGCCACGTTTAACAGCCGAGTACGACTGCTCGGGGCTGTTTGCTTGTCTAGGTGGAATGTTGCTGTCAAAACGCGGTGTTCATCCAGCTGGCTACATTCAAGTGTGTGGAGAATGCAATGCCAGCTTAGCGAAGCAGCTGCTGCCGAAATTCGCTATCAAGAACGGGTTTTATGTTGGTTCGCTGCCGAGTCATCTCGCCAGTGCTACGCTACCGGAGCGTTTCATGACGCAGACGGTCTCGATCGTTGCTGTGACGCGGGTTATGCGCGGTGGCGCGCATCGCGCAATCCGCTCGCACTGTCTCGCATTCGACTCGATGCCGGGTCCCGCCGTGACGCTGTTGCCCACATCCGCCCGCAACATCAGCCGCTACCGAGTCGTGATGGCAGGTCCGTTCACTACCGAGCAACAAGCTCGCATTCGGCAAATGCACCTCGTTCGTCGTCAATTGGTTGAAGATTTACTGGCCTTCTACTGTGAGTACAACGCGCTGTATGAGGAAGTTGCCATTAATTGCTCAGGTCTAGCGGTTGAAACGGTGGCAGAGCACTTGATTTCCGAGGAGATCGATGTCGACGTTGACGTCAACGATAATGATGCTGAGAGCAATCGTGTGGGCAGCGTCGCTGGGATTGGTGGGACCGGTGGAGAGACCGATGTCGTGGAGCATAGCGTGATGTTTATCACGGACGACCGTGAAGTCATCACGCAAGACATATCATTTGCTCCAGCTCAAGTTGTTGAGCTGCCGACCCAACACACATCGCAGCCTCAGTTTTTGGTTCGACACATAAGTCGGTTTGCCAGCAAGAAGAACTTGCTGCTCTCGCGCATGTTCCCACACCTCTTTCCGTACGGTAGAGGTCATCCAAACGAGCAGCGGCGGATTCCAGTATCACTAGAAGCTTGCATCCGTCATTACAGCCAGCTGAGTCCGCGACGATTCGCTGAAGACGAGCTGTTCACACTAGTGAGTTTTGACGATCTCACTCTCCAGCGCATGTATCTGCATGTTGCGCTCAAATACCAACACGATCCTGCCCGGTTCGAGCGGTACAGTGCCATCTCCGAAGCCTCGTTGATAGAAGCGCTCCAAAAAAAAAGAGCTGCACCGCCAAGGTCGAGCGACAGCGATTCACGACGACAGTTCCGGTGACAGTGACTTCTTGAAGACAGTTGAGACCAGCAGCGGTGTTGTTTGGGGGAGTGACGCCGAGCGGGCACAGTGTCGTCGTCGCGCATTTGCCAGGTACGGGCAGCCCGCTCTCTTTGTGACGCTCACGCCCAACGTTGCCGAGTCGTTTGTAATGGCGCACTACACGGGCATCTCGTCAGTGATACACTCTTCGACTCCAATCTGGCTGAGCTGCCTAGACGGTCAGCACTCCATAGTGCAAGTATACGCAACGATGTCGCATCCGCTCGGTTGCTCATGCACAATATGGATGCTTTCATCGAGCACGTGCTCGGCACGCCTCATAAGCAAATGAAGACCAAAGCCTTTGACGGACTCGTTGGTGACGTCAAAGCCTACTTCGGCGCTGTGCAAACTCAGGGCGGCGGCACATTGCATGCTCATTTCTGGCTCACCAATGCACCACCGAACACCGACGCGTTTATCCAAGCCACAGCTGAACACGGCGATCAGTACTACCGCGACATCGCAGCTTACGCCGATAGCATTGTCAGCACCTCGTTGCCGCTTGACGTCGCAGTGAACTGCCATTTTTGCGGGCACTCGTTTGACGACTTGCAAGCGCTGCCGATACCACCTGAGGCGTACGAGAACCCGAACGCATGTCGAGGCAGTGCTCGAGCAGAACCATTGCTCGTTCAGTGTCCTCAATGTGCCACCAAGATGAGCTCTCAGCACGTGCTTCGACGCGCTATTCTCCAGCGACGACCATCGACATGGCCTCCACCGCTGCGAACGTATTCGGCGGAGGAACTCAACGCGGCCGTGCATATGGAAGTCAACTGTCGAGGCAGTGTTGGTGCAGCGAAGGCTGCAGTCTTTCGTCGAGACATGATTTTAGCGACAAGGGACAGTGTCGACGACACGTACGGTGAGTACTTGCGTACGCTGAATGCTGTACCAAACCGTAGCGAACAGCGTGAAGACGACGCCTTCTGCGACGACAACGCAGATCAAGCTATCATGACGTTGCCGCCATCGGTCGAGAATGAGCGCTGGACGCCAAACGCTACCGCGTTCGCGGTGTCAATGCTTGTGTTCATGTTGAACCTCCACTGGTGGTCGCATGTCGGAAGCTGCTTCAAAACTAGCCGCGTTTCCGCTCCAGAACAATGTCAGTATCGTTTCCCACGCGTGCGATTTGTCAACACATCATGCACTAGCGCTGGTGTCGTGCTGGCAAGGCGGCCCCCGTTCGAATACATCAATGGCTACAATGCTATTATGATGCTGGCGTTCAAGTCCAATCACGATATACAAGTCTTAATCGGCGGTTTGGAGGCGCTCCTGCGCATCTATTATGCCACCAAGTATGTTACCAAAATGCAAAACGAGGTCGACTCTGTCACGGCCGTAGCTTTAGCAGCTTTCAAGCGTCGAGAGATCCGAGAGCTGCAAAACCAGACATCACGGCCGGAACGCTCAGCGGTCGGACGTACTCGCGTTGCATTCATGGCTTTTGCGCTGACCAATCGACGGGAAATCGCAGGTCCCCTCGAAGCGCTGTATCTGCTGCGCGGCTCATGCGCATACATGAGCGCTTCCTGTACATCTCTCCCTCTCTACGACGTTTTGCGCGAGTTGATTCAGCACGACACGCATTCGTGCAACCTCGTCGAGCTCCAAAACGGCGAGTCCAATGTCACGTTTCGCGCCGCCTCCTTCCTCGACGACTATATCTTTCGACCATTGTCGCCAGACCGCACGAGCCTTTACGAATTCGTTATGGCGTGGTTTCGCTGCAAGCAATCGAAGTCGACGGCAACATCCGATATGTTTTTGATCGGCCATCCACGTTATAGTACGCATTGAATAGGGCATCATCAACTCGAAGCGGCTCAAGTGCGCGCATGCCGTACGTGGACTCCAAAACACCTCTCGAGCTTGTTGTCACACGTTCTCAGTGCGCATTGGTACTCTTCAAGCCATTTCGTACCGTCCTGGATCTGGTCAGTGAACCGGCAAACGAGGCTGCATGGGTTGACGCATACTTTCAGTGGGAATCTACGCGGACGAGTTTCATTCGCGAAGTCATGGCGAACATGAATGATTACTACCATGCATCAACGTTAGCGCAGGAGGACGGGGAATCCGGTAGTAATCACATAAATTATGAAGCTGATAGTGGCGAGCTGATTGGGAGTCGCAACGATATTGATGGTGCCGTTGCCAACATGCAATGCCACAACGACACTTCCGTAGACGGCGGAAGAATCAAGGTTTTTTGCCATGTTTTCGCTGAAGACGATGTTGCTGACGGTGGAAGCCTGCCGGTTTTCCCGACTACACGAACTGGTCCATTGCTGTCGAGTATTGCTCACCAAGAACTGCTGGGTCCGACAGCAGAAAGTGCAGCTCGTGCGGCAATTGATCTCGGCAATGGTGAACGCCAACCGGGTTTGTCAGTGGCAGAGTTGCAGGAATGGGTCAAGGATCCAATAAGCGACGAAGCTGAGCCTTCCTTGACCGGACTTCCATGCGGTGAACGGCGCGCCGACGTGATTGAGCTCATACAGAGCGCGCTCAAGTCAGGCGGAAAGTGGTCTCCGCCAAACCAGCAGTATGGCTGCCCAACACCACCTCCACTGCGACCCTACCCTAGCATTAACGACGTCTCCACAGCATTCACGCTCAATCGACGTCAACATGTAGCGTTCTCGCTGATAGCAAGAGCACTGCTTCGGCGTTTCCAGCAGCAAGAGCGTGCCAATATTCACAAGTCGGCTGACTATCGCGCTCACGACTTCGCGTCGCGACTACGAGACGACCAGCTACTCATGTTCCTCAGTGGGGCCGGTGGCACCGGTAAGAGTCGTGTCGTCGAAGTCATCAGTGCATTTTGCTCCGGTTGGCACCGCACCAACTCCCTTGTCAAAGCAGCATTGACTAGAAAGGCAGCCACGCTGATCGGTGGGCGAACGCTTGCAAGTTTTCTGGTACGGCTGGAACACGCCATAAAAATGAAAAATTGCGCCACTTGATCTGCTGCTCATCGACAAAGTGTCCATGATGAGCAAGGCTGAAGGGGTTAAACTCGACAAGCTTCTCCGTCGATACATGCAGATCGAGAACATCCCGTTTGGTGGCATTCACGTCGTGTTGGTTGGTGACGTTTTGCAAATACCGCCCGTAACGTCGGACCCAATCTATCTAGACCCCATCGGCAAGGCAAAGCCGAACACGGTTGACGTCGGAGGGCTCGAGCTCTGACGCAGGTTCACGGTGGTAATTACTCTTGACGAGCTCGTGCGCTTTCGTGACGCCCCCGAATGAGGAGAGGGCTGCCGAAATGCGCGCCTGGGGCACTGGACCTCAGAGTTCGTCGACATGATCAACGCGCGCGGTCGTGCAACCACACACGATCGTGATAACGTGCACATCTTCAGGATGAAGCCGTAGCCTCTGTAGTTTTCGTCACACCGGATAATTCGAGGCGATTGGCGATCAACAATGCGTTCATAAAGTAAACCGCAGCCAAGCTACCAAACGACGTATACCCTTTCCGCGCGATCGCAAATTTCAAGGGCGCGCTCATCGGTCTCAGCCGAAGCGACCTCTGCTACGTGCTAAGCCTCCCAGATAACAGGTTCGGTCGGATGGCTCCATTCCTCGACATAGTACAAGGAATGCCCATTCAGGTGACTCAAAATGTAGCCACAGCCAAGGGTATAGCGAACGGCACGCTTGGAACGCTCGAGTACGTCTACTTCCCTGCGGGCACCCGCTCTCGCCTTGTTTGCGACGGCGCCACTTCCACGGTCGTCCAACTGCCAGGTCAGCCTCCGGACTACGCACTCATTCGCTTGCCGAGGCCACATGCTGCTCCAATTCGACCTGGGCTTGACCCTGCGTTCTTTCCGGTGTTTTATACAACGGAAGCGTACACGAAAGCCACTATCAAACTGACACCGGCTCCAGATGGGCAGCCGCGCTACGTCAAGGTACGACCGTAGCACTTCCCCTTTGTATGCGCGGTTAGATCGACTGTATATAAAGTTCAAGGAGAAACACTGCAGTTCATGATTGTCATGGACTGGAAATCGACGCAGCCGCTGGTCAACAAACCAACACAAACATACTTGCTTGTCTCGCGGGTTACGACTCGCAACGGACTGATCGCACTTAAAACACTAACTCCGAAGCTTGTGGAGTGGTCGAAGCCGTCCGATCACGCACTCCGTGAAGAAGAACGCCTCAACAGTCTCAGCAACGCAACGTTGAGGGAATTTTACCTGCCACTGATCGCCGATGTGGAGGACTTTGAGGATCGTTTCGATCCTCAAAGTCAAAATGAACCACGATAATCAGATAAGTAGCGATCACCTTTGCACGAGCACAATTGTAAGCGAATGCAACCACACCATGTGCAATAAATCAATTCATAGTGCTGTTTGTCGAGCTCACCTGTACAGCTCCGCTATTGCGAGCTATCCATGGATCAAACAATCACTCCGCGACGCGCATCCTCGCGCTCCACCGTCAGGAGCCATACACAGCGAATCCCTCGACATCCTTCTCCACAATCACCCCTGTGTATGCCGCCTAGTCTGGCCCTCAAGTCACGATCAGCATATATTCCTGCAGACGTCACCCCCCATACCAGGCATATGCACACTCACTCACCGCGTACGCATATCACCGAGCTACGACGCCGGCCACCCGTCAGCCCCCGCACCTGCCGATTTCCCGTTCCGATCTGCTCTGTTCGGTGCCTGTTGCCTTGCCTTGAGAAATCCACTGCGTTGTTGCATGAATGATGAATGTAGCGACGTTGACCGTCGTAAGGCTGACCGAAGGTCGTACGGTCACAAACGGCCGCTATGCCCCCTAAGATAGTTCTTCGAGCTACGAATTAATATTGTGCGTTCTACTCAAAATTTCCGAGTTGGTGAAAGCACATGCAATGAGCGCAAATCTGTTTTAGATTTGCTTTGAGAGAGAATCCACTTAGGTACGAAATACCACTTGTAAGTGGGTTATTTAAAAATACGATCTGGGCTGTTTCGAAATAGCAGGAAATTTGTATTCACTGAAAAGGACCAAAACGGCAAATTTGGTCGAAATTCACAATAATACATGTGACTTTACAGTGACTTCTCCTCAGATTGTCGACGTCAATATTATCGAATGACTTCACAGCAGCTTCCCAGAGTTTCATCAACTATGGCGTGGCTGCAACTTCTTTCATTTGAATCGAGCTCCTCCTCTCAGCTACTTTTTATGCACTTGCAACTGAAGGCTTCGCTTAACTGTTTAAAAAAAATATGACAAATACTTCGCTCAGCCACTTGTCAATTCTAACTGTCAACTCTGCACTTTTAAGTTCTTAAAATTAACATCTACCGGTACACACCGATAAACCTTTCGTGTTTTCTTCAACATGGTCTGATCTTAAAATCTACACATCTTGACGTTAAAAGATAATATTAAAACCAACTCCCTATAAGTTAAATGATCTATTTATCAAGTACATCTACATGTAAAGCAAAACACGTGCAGAGACAGAATTAATTGCCAAGGGAAAACATGGGCGAGATCAGTGATGACTCAAATCGGAGCACAAGGAAGAGAACCTCCATGAGCCAATACTTGACGCCACCCTCGGGGATATTCACGTAGTTGCCTCCGTACTGTACTACGCAACCGACTTCCGGTCGATTTGGATCGCTCGGCATGAAGCGTAGCACCGTCAGAGACTGGGTCCATATATCTGTAGCATACACCCGCTCCTTCACATCAGGCAGGTCCAGCGTGCGATCGAAGTAAACGAAATCGTGTTCCCTCCTCACGCGGCTTATCACCTCAATAGCACGGGATACTCGTCCGGTCTGAGGGTAGCAGATGACTCGGTAGATGATGATCGCGTCGTCACATACTTTCTGCAACAAGTGTTTCTGCGTTAAAAATAACCATACAGTTAGAAATACTTTCCAACACCCAATTATACCCCCTTCCACTTACCCGAATAAATAGCGAAGGGCTGAAGAAACTGGCGTAGCTGTCCGTCGTCAATCTCTGCCACGTGATGTTCCAGATTCTCTCGGCGCAAATATGCGGGAAGGCCTTGTGCAGGGTGAATTTGACGCTGGTGTTCTCCACGAGACGCCTGTCAGACCAGCCCATGACGTTCATTCCTGAGGCTTTCATCGCCTCCTGGGTCAGAATTGCATCCACGCTATGCATCGTCTGACACACGATTTCCTGCCACTGCTGTACTGTAAAGGGCGTAAACTGCTGCTCCACGGCCTTGGCTTCTTGCTGAAAGATCATTTCGAGCGCATCGAGCGTGGAGACTGATGGCCGGGAGGCCTTGGCATCCGCTTCATGCTCCAGCGCCTTGTTCTCAGTCTCTAACGCCTCGCGCTCGCTCGAGAGCTTGAGCACCGCTACCTGTTTCTCGAGCGCTATGATGGACTTCTTGACGCCTGCCAGCATCTCCTTCTTGCGCTGCATGAAGCGGCGCTGCACCTCTCGATGTTTCATGCGCTTCTCCTCTACAGACACGCGCTTACGACTCCCACGCGTCTTCTTCTTTATCGGCTCAGGTTTGATTGAGGCTGACGAGTCGGACGAGTCAGCGAGGGATGAAGAGGAAGGTGAGGGAAGCAAAAGACTCTCAAAGATCTGCTGATCGGTGTCGCTCCAGTCCTCGGGAAGAAAGTCCGGTCGAGACGCGTGTAGCTCGTAGGCGAGCTGCGCCTGCGGGAACGAAGACGCCATGGGTGGGTGCGGAATTGCAAGAGTGTTGGTCAGTTTTTTACAGAGACTTGATACCAAAGTGAGCAGAACTGCAAATGGGACGCTTGGAGGAACGAACCTAATTTCGAGTAGAGAGGGGTTATGGAGCCTAATACTAAATTGCTTCAAATAACCGATATTGGATTGAAGGAGATTTGGTGTCATCAAAGAACTTTGTGGCAATTCTGATACCTTCGATAATTGATTGAACAGAGACGTGCCTGGTGTAAAGTAACCACCATATCGCAACCGCTCCGACACCCTACCCCTTTCCGACATGTTTCCGACAGTTCGGATCCGCCAATCAGATCATGACGGTGTACTCAGATTAAGTACGCTTACACTAAGTACGGTCGCTTTTATAAGTACGACCATGAGTTCGAAGGCGCAAGGAAATGCTCTAAAGAGGCCTGTAGGCCGAGAAAACTCATTTTTTTGTTTGGGGGCATTATAGGCTTCACAGCACTGTGCTCAACAGCCAGCAAATTCATGAATGAGACCCGAAGCCAGGGTGAGGGGCCTCTATTAGAGTTTTTTTTTTAAATAATGACACTTAAGCCAAAAATAGTGACATCATTGTCGTAGGCCAGTCATTTGGATTAACCTCATTCAGGTTTTTTGCTCAGCCAATAAAACAACGTCACGTATTAAACCTTGCCTAGGTTTTTTACTTAGCCAATCATGCAGCGCCACAAATTACCGACAGGGGCCTTGTGGTCTCAGTCTTCTTTTTCCAGAGCCACCCCAGCAGATCTCCCGTAGCAAAGGACCAGTCCAGAGCACAGTATGCCATTGCGCACACGAATATCGCCGGCACTGCTGGTGCAGCGCTCGGATGGTAACGAGTGGGGGGTCCAATTCCCTGCTGTCGGCTTATGATGTTTGCGAAGAGCTGCAATTCATTAAAATCTACTCACTTGTCTTACACATGTCCTACGAATTGAAGTATGTCTTGGGTTGATGTAGGCGCAGGATCAGCAATTTTGTTTGAGGTGAGGTGTGTACGGTACGTCGTGATACGGCCGTCGAGGGCTCCTAAGCGATGAAGTTTGCGCATCTCACGCAGTACGCTACCGCTGCCCTTTGCTCGGATACCTTGTCCACTCAGGAAGCCGAGGACCGCCGATTCTGCACGTTGGCCGACCTCGAGAGCGCGATCCTTGTAGTCCTCCGATCTCTCGTGAAGCTGAAACCCGCCCTCCAGGAAAAGCTTCATGTACGCGACGATCAAGCGGTAATCTGACTTCTTTTGTCGGTCGTTAGAGCTCCAGACGCGAGGCTGCCGTGTGTACCACTCGAACCAGATCGACGACAGGTTGGTAGTCGCTTTCTTTCTGCGTTTCGCTGCAGGTGTTTGAGCTGACGAAACTTGCTCCTATTCTGTAGTTTGGGCTGGCTCTTCGTGCGCAGGTCGCTTAAGGATGGCAGCCTCTAGCACCAGCAGGCGTGCAGACAACAGCCTATTGCTTTCGATAAGCTCATTAATGACAGCAGCGTGATGACACTCCGTTCGATTGCAGCCGTTCTTTTCAGTGTCCTTCCTTTGTTGAGCAGGTTTGGAGGCGACATGGCTCAGCGCGACTGACCACGCCAGCAAGTCGGTGTGGGAGATGTCAGCTGCTTCCAAGCATTCTTTCACTCGAACAACGAACAAGCTCCTGGGTTCGAGAGTCTTCACTTCCGGGAAATGCCTAATTAGGTAGGCGGTAAGGACCCCAATGACCTTGCGACTCACGTTTAGCTTGTTGTTCTTCAGCCCTACACAGGAAGCGAACAGCAACTCCTGCAACCGGGTCATGCGCTCCTGAGCCCCATGGTCGAGAATGGCAACATCAAGAATCATCGGTGCCTCGTCCGCAGCCCACTCGCTCAAGACCCGTGCTACTTTACGGTCCTCGCGTGGCGTGTTGAATACGTAGGCGAATCCTTTGTTGGTGCGCGTCATGTCCCATGACCCACGATCAAAGATCTACTGTGCAGCCAGCCGCTCGTCCCCGTTTGCATGCTGCGCCCCGCCCCGCCTGAAGGAGTGCGAGGTCAAGTTGGCTGAGGCTCCTGCCGGCTCCGACACCCGCTTCAGGAACCGGTACACATACGCTTGAACCCCGTCGTCACCGCGAGCTTGGTTGGTCGCTGAAGGGTTGGCTGCAGCGGAGCTCGGGACGCTTCGCAGAGTGGCAGCCGCCGGGTCAGTCATTCCTGCTGCAGGAAGCTGCGAAGAGGTGGCAGCATTGACCGAAGGTACTCGTAGTACATCGAGAAGGGGTGCTGCTGCATCAAGTGAGGGTGCAGACGGTGTCACAAGAGAAGGAAGCTGGCTTAGCAGGGACACACAAGGCGACTCCTGCATCACCAAGGCTACTGCGAGCGTGTGCAGCGGGCAGGTCACAAAATCCGCCCGATCAGGTACGAGCGTGAGGCCTTGCTCCTCAGCTGTTTTCATTCGTAGCATCCGAATGTAGAAAACGCTGTCAGCTCACATTGTAATGTGCTGCTTTGTGACGTAGCCGAGATCTGATGAACGGCCGAAGCAATGCCACATAAGGCACGCAAGCGCTGCATCTTCGTAATCCGAGGCGACGGATGCTGTTTTGTACACATAGCATATTAGTGAGCGCAAATCCGCCTTTGTACAAGGTGGCACCTTGCTAGTAAATCCTCCATTATCACGTTTTAAGCAGTGTTTTTCGAGAGTCTTCCCTTGTTTAAGCAAAATTAGCTCGGTTGGTACTCTAAGATGAGGATACTCATCGAAAAACCAAAGCTTCACGTTTCTAAAGTAAGAAATGGCGGTGTTGGGCGCCAACTTACCTTTCTTACCTTCGCATGCGGCGAGATAGTAGCCAAAACGATCCATCACGGCCGCTAAGCTCTTTCCAGAGCTGTCACTGAAAATGCATGCTCGGACAACGTCCATGGATACATCCTCGACTTTAAGCATACGCTCGAACGCGCCTATTCCGATAGTACGCGCTTTTTGCGTGTTTGTAGGGATAAGTGCGGAGAGGCTCATGCTGGTTGCTGCTTGTCTTTTCTGCTTTTTGTTAACTGGACTTGGCTGGTTGAGTGTACCTTAACACTACTGCTCAATTTTAACCTAAAGTAGGAGGTATACCGCATTGTCGGAACCACAAAAATATTGACATATATCTTACACGACTTAAATTCAGTATTGGTTTCAAAATAGTTAGCTCTAGCTTCCGACAAATATTTGTCAGAAAGTGTCGGAATGAAGAGCCTGCTCCTGTGCGACCTAATTGGCTGAATTAAGGTACATTGTAGTATATGATTGGATATTAATCACATATTCACAATCTTGCCTTTGTGTCTGTCGGAAAGACGTGTATATTCATCCATATGCTTCACATCGCTCCGGTGTACAGCCGCCATGTCCTGCTTCGTGTCAAGATGGCCGAGTCAAGAGTCCTGTCGTCTGGGCCGCTGCAGATGGAGAAAATGCGGGTGCTTTACATAGAAAACCGGTGGCTGCTTTCGCGCAGCGTGACGAGTCAATTGTGCGTTTCAAGGAGTGGGATCGGCGACCGTAAAGCGGTCCGGCTTCTTGTGCACTGGATTAGGCAAGCCTCCTTGACTACAAAACATCGGGGGCTTGCATGCACCCGGCACATGGCGGAAAGCATCTGTGAGCCGCGGCAGCAGAGAGAACAATGTTATATTAGCTAGACTAATACCAATAACTATTCTTCAGTTTACTGCTACACTGTACTGTAGCTACATCGATCTTCGAGCCAGAATCTATAGTATTAATAGTCGCGAAACGGACGACCTGTTGCTAACAGTGCTCGACTACCGCTATACCCGGTAGAATACCGGTAAAAACCAAATACAGAAATGATTTGTTATTAGTGACCCACTTGAGTGTCCACTCTCGCCCTGTTGGGACAACACATCACGATGAGCATAGCCCGGATAAAAGTCATAGAGCTTTATGTCCATGGAAGGAGGACAGAGTAAATGATGGCAATGCTACCAGGGCTTGACAAAAAATAGGACCAAAAGTTAGCGCCTTGGCTTGGACTCTTTAATGTGAAGGTGTTGGGCCAACTATCAAAGGGGTTAAGCTTATCCTCGGTTTTAGATGACTGGGGTCGGGTTAGCAGGACAACATTCGACGGAAAAGTGTGTTGAGCGTTTTCTGTGAAAATCCGCCGCGATCGCCCGTTATTTTCCACTTATCGATGGACTCAAACTTGCTGGGTGCGGACTTTAAATTTGGCGTACGCCCCCGTCTCCACTGCGCAATTGGCATAAGAGCGATGGCTAAACGGGAGTCGGTCGAAGGCGTGCTTGGAGGCTTAACCATTGCGCTTGAGCACGAGAGCTATGCTCCGGGAGAGGTCGTTACAGGAAGTGTGCAGCTCTCGACGTTGGAGCTTGTGCAGGCAAGAGAGCGTGAGTTATCTTTACATACGTGACCCATCAAATCTATAAAACCTCACTTTAGTGCTCGCTCCTCTGCCCAGCGTTAGCAGTGATTGTCCAGGGACGCGAAGAGGTCGCATGGGACGAAGGAGGCTACAGTCCCGTCACGAACGCCTTCGACAGGATTTTTCTACAGCACAAGGTGCTTCAAGATAGTGACAAGAATTAAGTTGTGGTTGGGTTCTTTGACACACTAACTGATACAATTCTTGAACCAGATCGAACTGACCTCTTCAACGCTCTACAATGCCAGTGAATCAGAATACCGTTTCAACTGCCAGCTGTCAGCGGATTTACCCTCCAGTTTTGAGCTGATCGATGTTTATAGCGGAACTGCTGAGCGTCTGCGAGTCCGGATCAAGTATCTAGTGACTGTTTGGCTCAGAGCCGACAGCGAATCGGTGGCGTACTTGAATGCTGAGCAAGAGTTTACGGTGCACGCATCGCCGACGATCACTCCGCCAGTACAGTCTCTTGAGATTTCTGCGGTGGAAGCTGTGCACTGGCTATGCTGTCTCAATCGTGGCAATCTGCAGATGACGGTCGAGATTCCAAAAGATGTTTACCCCGCCGGCGAAGCGATTCCGCTCTTATGTCGAGTGGATGGCTCTGCGTGTAAAGCCTCCATCAAGTCCATCACGGTGGAGCTGGTTGAAGATATTTTGCTTCGGAATTTGGGTGAACGCGCCGACTGGACTGTCACGCGCATACTTTCATCGCAGCAGGTCGAAGGACCAGGTGCCGCCGGTCAATCAGCGGAGCAGACGCTGAGCGTTGGGCTGATTAAGAACGAAAAGGAGGCTCCTGTAAACCCAGACGAGGCTACACATTTCTTTCGGTGTACTCATCGCCTGGTCGTTCGGTGCAAAATAGTTATGGCGCAAAATATCGTTGTTGAAGTGCCAGTACGGGTACTACATCACGATACGTCGTTCAATGCACGAGCGGTTCGGTTGCTGAGAATGCCAGCTGAAGCAACGTCGGGAAGCAAAAGCCCATAACTGATGAAACAGTCTCCGTACCAGTTCTAGCAATTTTGAGAAGATTATCCAGGAAGATGGCAACACAATGCAAGGCGTGGCAGATACAGGGCCGAATACGAAGCGGTATAATGACATTTTTGCATTAAGGTTGGAGAAGTGTTTTTACATGTTAATTCTGAATTTTTGCTTCATTCTTTCTCATTACGCGCATGATACGCGAGTCAAAGGTATTATAGGCGACCTGGGAGGAGTACACTGAAGATGGCTGTGGTAAAAGAAACGCAGGGAGAAAATGATCTGTTTTAATAGCTGTCAGAAACTTCGATACATGTACTTCAGGTAATAGAGTGTTTTAGCAGAAAGCTACGAACGTGTGACGCCCGGTTTTTTTTGTAAGGATTGCCAGAGACGAGCGTCACACGTTCGTTCAAGTGATGTAGCTACGACTGATAAGCTTTCTACAAGTCGTATACAAATGTATATCTATGCACTTTAACATCCGCATACTGTATACTTGAGTGCATTTTGTGCCCATTATAGCACTGCCGTTGGTTGCGCACTGGTCGGGCGACCACGCACCGTGCTATCAATGAAGCCGATACACCTGTCGATAGGACTGCCGCGTGCAAGAAGCTTGCTGCACTTAGCGTAGATTAGGTCCACCATGAAGCGAAAGATCAGGCACAGCGCACTGGGCGACCTGCCGAACATCACAGCAAGATCCCCGTACCGTCCAGGGTACGCGAGCCGGCGCAGCAACACACAGAGCCCCTCGACTTCACCAACGCGAAGGCGGCTCGGTAGCTTGTAGTCTTCCTCAAGCCGCAGCGCCTTGTGCAGCCAAATTACGTCACGCTTCCAGAATCGGAAATTAAAACGACAGTCTCCGTCGCTTAATGCGTTGAAATTGAAGTTGCCCTTCAGTGTGAGGACTGGTCGTGGAAAAGGAGATCTGGCGAAGAGCACAGAGGCGTCCTCGACGAGGACGAGGTTCAGAGCGGTCGCTGCGAGGACTAAGCTCTCATCGAGCATCTTGACTGGCTTGTGTGCTTTGCAAATGTAGTATACACCAAGGACGGATAAGAGCTCGCGTTCGCTCTGCAAAATGCTTCGCTGGCAAACCAACGCTCTATACCTATGGGCCCTTGGTAATGAGATGCCATGTGGTCGATTGACTACGGTTGAAGCGTATGATGGTATCATCGATGACACAAAGTATTCGGCTTGATATTCGAACACCAGTGTGGTAAAGTGCTTTCTCAGAAATAAGAGAATGGGCCTGACGCGGGGTCACTATCCCGAATCAATGACAATTTCAAGTGATTAGAAAGGATTTGGGTTGGCTGGCACGGATGCAAGTTGCCGGTGGTGGATTAGCCATGACGAGCAGCGCCCCGTATGAAGTGACGATGGATCTGGTATGAGCGATGTACGAGAAGGCAAGATCCACCAAGACTTACCTCGGATCCACCCTTACTTGGATTCACCTAAATGGATATGGGATATACTATACAAGAGTGGATCGGGTGTGGATCCTATGAAGGAAGGATGGTAGGTGCCCTCTAAAGGTGGATCTAGTAGCCACGGCTAACGAGGAGTCAAGATCCACCACGAGGTGACCCGGATCCCATGCTTTCGAGTTAGGATCCAAGGAGGGAGGATCCCGCCTTGAGGGACCTGGATCCAGGGTATAGGGATGAGGGATACAGTGGATCTCGAGCTTTCGTGGGACAACGGAGATCACAGACGGTTGCGAGATGATGTTGGATGAGTGGAGAGCTCAGGTCCACGACGAGTGTACACTTTCAAGTGAAGTGGATCCAAGCGACCTGGATCCGGATGAGTGTACCCATAATAGGGTGACCATGATGATTACGTCATATATCCGGTGGATCTGAAGATAATACAGCTGGGATGATGGGTCAAGGGAAGAAGGGACATGCAGCCGAGCCTGGTAAGGGATTTAACAGATGAAAGACATAGAAGGTAGAAACCCAGGCAGGTATAGGCTTAAATATCAATACAGTCCTCAATTTGCACAGTAACACGCAAGTGCCTTCCTGCCCTCAAGAACCGGAACTACATTGGCCGTACGAGCTCCGTGAAGGTTAGGAATTGCGAATCTAGTGTTGGTAGTGATAACTGGATAATACATTGGCCAGATCCTACAACCTAGTGAGCTTTTCCTTTACTTGTGCAGATCCGACAGGTTAACCGAATTTACTACTTGGTCGGTTATACCCTAGGGGCTCTCAACTCTCAAGATCCCGTCACAGGAGGCGGCAAGTACAACGCAAAGGAACGCAAAGGCAAGGGAACACACCCGCAAGGCAACCCTACGGCTAGATCCACGATCTAGGCCCCGGATCCATAAGCTCGAATATTCGCTTAGGATACGGAACCATCCACGGACGCAGAGTGAAGATTTTCCACTGCTGCTCCACCCCATCCCCACGTCTCGCCAAGACACTCAAGCTTCACCACTTGAACTCTTCGGAAGTTACTGAGAGAGCAGATCCCGCCCTACCGACGGGTACACAAGGTGAGGAAAGTTCAGCAGAACACGGATCATCGGGGGACCCCCTCCGTTAGTCGGTGTCTGGGCGCAGTTGGTAAGTTGGATCCAGCAATCTCGCAGATTTTGCTGATCCCGCTACACCACAATGGTGCGCGTGCCCGGATCTTTTGGTGACTCGGGATTTCACCGTGAGTCCCAAGAAGATGCTCAAGTGAAGATTGAGCCAGGGGAAGAGGCGTCGTCGGAGGTCGGATCGACGAAGACGCTGCTGAATGAAACAAGATCCGCGGATCGATGGAGTTTTGGGAGGAACTCTGTCGACGGAAGAGAGGTGGATCCGGATCCGGATCTAGAAGAGAAGCCTCTCTATCCTCCCCAGGTCCCCTCGGGGACCCCTGCGGATCTTGACGCAAGTCAAGATCCGCTAACAAAACAAGGGAAAGTGAAGGCGAAACGGTATGCATTTGCAGATTCACCGGTTAAGCCAACACCGTACCTAAACCCAAGCCCGCTAGTCGAAGAAACAAGAAAGAAGACGAAAACGAGTAAGACTACGCGGAAGAAGATGCAAGCTCCAGAGTCGGAAGAAGACCAAGCTGGATCCAGGTCAAGCTGGTCCGACAAGGATCTCGAGTTTGTGTATCGCCACCAAGCTTTACGCGACTTCCTGCATCAAGATCCTGTCATGCAGATCCTGAATCCACGACAGATCGAAGATCCAAGGGAACCGGTGAGAGCACCAACGAAAACGGCGAACAAGTTGGTGGCAGTCAAAGATCTATTACGTTTGCTTACGGAGTCAGGCATCGTAGCTGGTGTGTTCGACGCAGAGGATATCTTCGAACTAGACCTGGATCTCATAGTATCCGCGACGCGGGACCTCTTTGCCAGAGTTAAGTCCATCACCGGAGAAAGGTCGCGCACTATGGATCCAGTGTCGTCGCCGAGGATCAGCCAAGCTGCGTCCTCAAACTACGAATCCGCCGCTGAGGATGAGTCAGACACGTCGTCCGAACCACGACGCATGACTTTAGGACCCTCCGGGGCATCCATGCTGGAAGCGCGGGCGAGGATCCGAGGACAGGAAGCCCCGGTGAACGTGAAAGCTCGGGATCCAGTACGCCCTACGCGTGATTTGACACAATCCAGCCAGGATCGAGCCAGATCCGGCAAGAAGCCAGTGGGATTATCGTCAGATCAGGCTCGAGGTAATCGCCTCACGGATCCAGTCCCGCCAGTGGACCAGACGGCCACAGGCTCTTCCGACACTTCCTCGGGCACTCTGCAGCGGCACTTTGAAGCTGCGATGAATCGCTTCCTGGCCGAACAGGGTATGAGAGCGCCCGTGCCACAAGTGCAAGTGCTCCACGAACATGGAGCACGGGACGTGGAGATGGAGTCAGTAGAGGGGGACAACTCCCATGATGAGTTCGACCCAGACGATCTGGATGGCCCATCCACTTCGTCAGCCGTGGTAGCAACAGCCACAGCCGGGGCAGGTGGATCGTCCATGATCCAGAGGGTACGGATCTCAGCCATATCGGACTTGAAGGAGTTCACGGGCAAGGATCAAGATGAGGACCGAGCGAGAACATGGATCAGCAAAGTCAAGTCGGCCCTCATGTGAGATCAAGCGTCGGATGCTGAGAAGTGTCTGACCTTTGCGGATCTGCTAGCGGGGCCAGCCAGGAACTGGTATCGGCAGCTGGGCAGATCAACCAGGAACAAGTGGCCAGATTTGCTGCGCAGTTTCCAGACCCAGTACTGTGGATTAGGAGTGTCGGTGGTACGACAATACTACCATGCTCGCCGCAGATCGGATGAATCCCCGTTGGAATACCTACATCGACTAAATGTGGCCGGTCTACGGGCCAAGTTGAAGATCAAGGATGGGGGATCCAAGGTACTGCGGGAACACGTGGATCATTTCATCGAGACGTTGGGAGATGTGGATCTGGCCGACAGGCTGACCCTGTTACGACTTCCCGACGCAGACGAGCTTAGAGAAGTACTGCGGGCGGTGGATCGCGCGAAACACCGCCAGAAGAAGGCGGCGGTCGGATCCGGCAAGTATCGCCAAAAGGCCCCGACGCCCACGGCCCCAGCTCGACGTGTCCACCAAGTCACGGCGCCTGACTCAGGAACTGAGTCAGGATCCGACGGCTCGGACTCCGACCCTGAAGATTACCGTCGAGTCTGTCTCACTGCGTCCAACGATCGAACGGCGAAGACAGGAGACAACTCTCGACCGGGGGATACCGTACCCGGGGACCGTGGGATGTACAGATCCCGAGATCTCATGGACGGGGCAGCACAAGTCAGGTGTTCGCAGTGCGGATCCCAAAAGCACACTGAATCTGGATGCTGGAAACATCTGGTCTGTGAGAAGTGTGGCAAGAAAGGTCATCCCGGGGATCATTGCTTCTACGTGTGTCGCGGGTGTGGCGAGATTCACGACGTCGGCAAGTGCCCGATGGAAGAATTCTACAACCAGATCCGC